GCGGCCGCGTTTAAAGGCACAGGCACCCCCCGCCCGCTCCGCTCCGCTCCCGCACCCTGGGGCGCAGGGCGCGGCCCCCCCCCGCTCCGCGCCTCCCCCGCGTGATCCAGAGCTCTGGAATTGGGCGGAGGGGACGCGGGCGCGGCTCCGGCACCGACCCCCAGGTGGGAAACGGGGGGCGGGGGGGGTGCGGGGGAGCCTTTGGGTGCCCCTGGGTCCGGTTCGGGTGCGGGGGGGGGTGCGGGGGAGCCTTTGGGTGCCCCTGGTCCGGTTCGGGTGCGTGGGAGCCTTTGGGTGCCCCTGGGTCCGGTTCGGGTGAAGGGGGGGGGACGGGAGCACCTTTGGGTGCCCCTGGGTCCGGTTCGGGTGCGGGGGGGGTGCGGGGGAGCCTTTGGGTGCCCCTGGTCCGGTTCGGGTGCGGGGGGGGGGGACGGGAGCACCTTTGGGTGCCCCTGGTCCCGTTCGGGTGCGGGGGGGGGGGCGGGAGCACCTTTGGGTGCCCCTGGGTCCGGTTCGGGTGCGGGGCGGGGACGGGAGCACCTTTGGGTGCCCCTGGTCCCGTTCGGGTGCGGGGGGGGGGACGGGAGCACCTTTGGGTGCCCCTGGGTCCGGTTCGGGTGAAGGGGGGGTGCGGGAGCAACTTTGGGTGCCCCTGGTCCGGTTCGGGTGCGGGAGAGCCTTTGGGTGTTCCGGTTCGGGTGCGGGAGAGGGTGCGGGGGAGCCTTTGGGTGCCCCTGGTTCGGTTCGGGTGCGGGAGAGCCTTTGGGTGCCCCGGTTCGGGTGCAGGGGGCGGTACGGGAGCACCTTTGGGTGCCCCTGGTCCGGTTCGGTTCCGGGGGGCCGTGTGGGAGAGCCTTTGGGTGCCCCAGTTTGGGTGCGGGGGGAAGGGGGGGTGCGGAGCAACTTTGGGTGCCCTGGGTCCGGTTCGGGTGCGGGAGAGCCTTTGGGTGCCCTGGGTCCGGTTCGGGTGCGGGAGAGCCTTTGGGTGCCCCTGGTTCGGTTCGGGTGCGGGAGAGCCTTTGGGTGCCCCGGTTCGGGTGCAGGGGGCGGTACGGGAGCACCTTTGGGTGCCCCTGGTCCGGTTCGGTTCCGGGGGGCCGTGTGGGAGAGCCTTTGGGTGCCCCAGTTTGGGTGCGGGGGGGGGTACGGGAGCAACTTTGGGTGCCCTGGGTCCGGTTCGGGTGCGGGAGAGCCTTTGGGTGCCCTGGGTCCGGTTCGAGTGCGGGGGGGGGTACGGGAGCAACTTTGGGTGCCTGGTTCCGGTTCGGGTGGGGGGGGGGGTGCGGGAGAGCTTTTGGGTGCCCCTGTTCCGGTTCGGGTGCGGGGGTTGCACCATGGGGTGCTGGGCTCTGTTTTGGGGTGCTGGGGGGTACGGGAGCAACTTTGGGTGCCCCTGGTCCGGTTCGGGTGCGGGGGGGTGCGGGGGCACCTTTGGGTGCCCCGGTTTGGGTGCGGGGTTGGGTACGGGAGCAACTTTGGGTGCCCTGGGTCCGGTTCGGATTGCTGGGGGGGCACCATAGGGTGCCGGGGTCAGTTTCGGGGTGCTTCGGTCGCACCCTGAGGTGCTGGGGTCAGTTTTGGGGTGCTGAGGTCAGGTTTGCGGTGCTGGGGGCGGTTTTAGGGTGCTGGGGTTTGTTTTGGGGTGCTGGGCTCAGTTTCGGGGTGCTGGGGTTAGTTTTGGGGTGCTGGAGTCCGGTTATAGGGTGCTAGGGTCCAGTTTTAGGGTGCTGGGGTCCGGTTATAGGGTGCTGGGCTCAGTTTCGGGGTGCTGGGGTCCAGTTTTAGGGTGCTGGGGTTAGTTTTGGGGTGCTGGAGTCTGGTTATAGGGTGCTGGGGTCCAGTTTTAGGGTGCTGGGGTTAATTTTGGGGTGCTGGAGTCCGGTTTTAGGGTGCTGGGGTCAGTCTTAGGGTGCTGGGCTCAGTTTCGGGGTGCCGGGGTCCGGTTTTAGGGTGTTTGGGTCAGTTTTAGGGTGCTGTGCTCAGTTTAGGGGTGCTGAGGTCGGGTTTGGGGTGCTGGGCTCAGTTTAGGGGTGCTGAGGTCCGGTTTGGGGTACTGGGCTCAGTTTAGGGGTGCTGAGGTCCGGTTTTAGGGTGTTGGGGTCAGTTTTAGGGTGCTGTGCTCAGTTTAGGGGTGCTGAGGTCCGGTTTGGGGTGCTGGGCTCAGTTTCAGGCTGCCGGGTCCGGTTTTAGGGTGTTGGGGTCAGTTTTAGGGTGCTGTGCTCAGTTTAGGGGTGCTGGGCTCAGTTTTGGGGTGCTGAGGTCCGGTTTGGGGTGCTGGGCTCAGTTTAGGGGTGCTGAGATCCGGTTTGGGGTGCTGGGCTCAGTTTCAGGCTGCCGGGTCCGGTTTTAGGGTGTTGGGGTCAGTTTTAGGGTGCTGGGCTCAGTTTAGGGGTGCTGAGGTCCGGTTTGGGGTGCTGGGCTCAGTTTTGGGATGCTGAGGTCCGGTTTTAGGGTGCTGAGATCAGTTTTGGGATGCTGAGGTCCGGTTTTAGGGTGCTGGGATCAGTTTTGGGGTGCTGAGGTCATTTTCATGGTGTTGATGTCCGTTTCGGGGTGCTGGGCTCAGTTTCGGGGTGCTGGGCTCAGTTTTGGGGTGCTGGGCTCGGTTTTGGGGTGCTGGGCTCGGTTTCGGCTGTTGGGGTGCAGCGGGGGCGCCCCGCGGTGCCGGCCCTGTTTTGGGGTGCCCAGGTCCAGTTTGGGGGTCTCTGGGCTCATTTTGGGGGCATTTGGCTCAGTCTGGGGGCTCGGGGCTCTGATTTGGGGTCTCTGGGCTCATTTTGGGGTCATTTCACTCAGTTTTGGGTCTCTGGGCTCAGTTTCGGGTCATTTTGCTCAGTTGGGGGTCTCTGAGCTCGGGTTTGGGGGCATTTCGCTCAGTTTTGGGTCTCTGGGCTCATTTTGTCATCATTTCGCTCAGTTTTGGGTCATTTCGCTCCGTTTTGGGTCTCTGGGCTCATTTTGGGCTCATTTTGCTCAGTTTTGGGTCTCTGGGCTCAGTTTTGGGTCATTTTGCTCAGTTTGGGGTCTCTGAGCTCGGGTTTGGGGGCATTTCGCTCCATTTTGGGTCTCTGGGCTCATTTTGGGCTCATTTCGCTTCGTTTTGGGTCTCTGGGCTCATTTTGGGCCCATTTCGCTCCGTTTTGGGTCTCTGGGCTCATTTTGGGCTCATTCCGCTCCGTTTTGGGTCTCTGGGCTCAGTTTTGGGCTCATTCCACTCCGTTTTGGGTCTCTGGGTTCATTTTGGGCTCATTCCACTCCGTTTTGGGCTCATTTCGCTCCGTTTTGGGTCTCTGGGCTCATTTTGGGCTCATTTCGCTCCGTTTTGGGTCTCTGGGCTCATTTTGGGCTCATTTCTCTCCGTTTTGGGTCTCTGGGCTCAGTTTTGGGCTCATTCCGCTCCGTTTTGGGTCTCTGGGCTCATTTTGGGCTCATTTCTCTCCGTTTTGGGTCTCTGGGCTCAGTTTTGGGTCATTTCTCTCAGTTTGGGGTCTCTGAGCTCGGGTTTGGGGGCATTTCGCTCCATTTTGGGTCTCTGGGCTCATTTTGGGGGCATTCCACTCCGTTTTGGGCTCATTCCGCTCCGTTTTGGGTCTCTGGGCTCATTTTGGGCTCATTCCGCTCCGTTTTGGGTCTCTGGGCTCATTTTGGGCTCATTCCGCTCCGTTTTGGGTCTCTGGGCTCAGTTTTGGGTCTCTGGGCTCATTTTGGGCTCATTCCGCTCCGTTTTGGGTCTCTGGGCTCAGTTTTGGGCTCATTCCGCTCAGTTTTGGGTCTCTGGGCTCAGTTTTGGGCTCATTTTGCTCCGTTTTGGGTCTCTGGGCTCATTTTGGGCTCATTCCGCTCCGTTTTGGGTCTCTGGGCTCATTTTGGGCTCATTCCGCTCCGTTTTGGGTCTCTGGGCTCATTTTGGGCTCATTCTGCTCCGTTTTGGGTCTCTGGGCTCAGTTTTGGGTCATTTTGCTCAGTTTTGGGTCTCTGGGCTCAGTTTTGGGTCATTTTGCTCAGTTTTGGGTCTCTGGGCTCAGTTTTGGGCTCATTTCTCTCCGTTTTGGGTCCCTGGGCTGTGTTTTCGGGTGCCGGTTCCTTTCCCGTCCCCCCCTTCCCTCCCCTCCCCGCCCGGCCCGGGCGAGCCGGGGCTCGTCCGCTGTCCCCGGGGGCGAGAACCGGGCCGGGGCGGAGCCGCCGGGGTGGGGGCCGCGGCGGCGGGGGGGGGGGGGGGGTACCCCAAAACCCCCCCTTGGCCATGGGGCACCCATGGGTGCGGAGGTCCCTATTCTATACCCCCCCCCCCATGGGGTGACCCCAGTGTAAAAGAGGGGGTTCCCCCCCCCCCCAAATCAGCGCCGTGCCCGGGGGGGGGGGCGGCGCCGGCTCCTTGCGATGCGTTAATTACTGCTAATTATGCTAATGCGGAGAACGGGCCCCGGCACATCCCGCTCCCGCGTTCCCAAGGGATTGGGGTGCGGGGGGGGGGGGGGGTGTGTGTCCTGTGTCGTGTGTGTGTCCCCCCCCCACTATCGCGACATCCCCCCTGCAGGTATCGCGATGGCGAGCGAGCGGCTGCAGAGCGCTCAGGACCTGCTGGACCTCACCTTCCAGTGTAAGGGGGGGGCAGCCATAGGGTGCTGTGGGGCACGCTATGGGGTGCAGGCTGACCCCCCCTTCCCCTGCCCCACATGTTCCCCCCCCCCCAGCGCTGGCCATGCAGCACATGGACCTGAAGCAGGTGGAGCTGGACACGGCCGTGGCCAAGGTGGATGAGCTGTCCCGGCAGCTGGAATCCCTGTGGAGCGACGGGCCAGGGCCCCCCCCCAGGGTAGGAATGGGGCGGAATTGGGGGGGGGGGGGGAATTGGGGGGGGGGAATTGTTGGGATGGGAATTGTTGGGATGGGAATTGTTGGGATGGGAATTGTTGGGATGGGAATTGTTGGGATGGGAATTGGGGGTGGGAACTGGGGGTGGGAATTGGGGGTCAGAGCTGTTGGGATGGGAATTGGGGGATGGGAATTAGGGGGTGGGAATTGGGGGTCAGAGCTGTTGGGAATTGGGGAATGGGAATTGTTGGGATGGGAATTGGGGAGTGGGAATTGTTGGGAATTTGGGGGGGGAGTTGTTGGGGTGGGAATTGGGGGTCAGAGCTGTTGGGATGGGAATTGGGGGGTAGGAATTGGGGGTCAGAGCTGTTGGGATGGGAATTGTTGGGATGGGAATTGTTGGGAATTGGGGGGGGAGTTGTTGGGATGGGAATTGGGGGGTGGGAATTGGGGGTCAGAGCTGTTGGGATGGGAATTGTTGGGATGGGAATTGGGGAGTGGGAATTGTTGGGAATTGGGGGTCAGAGCTGTTGGGATGGGAATTGTTGGGATGGGAATTGTTGGGATGGGAATTGGGGGGTGGGAATTGGGGGTCAGAGCTGTTGGGATGGGAATTGGGGGATGGGAATTGTTGGGATGGGAATTGGGGAGTGGGAATTGTTGGGATGGGAATTGGGGGTGGGAATTGTTGGGAATTGGGGTGGGAATTACTGGGATGGGAATTGGGGAGTGGGAACTGTTGGGAATTGGGGGTGGGAATTGTTGGGATGGGAATTGGGGAGTGGGAATTGTTGGGATGGGAATTGGGGGGTGGGAATTGGGGAGTAGGAATTGTTGGGATGGGAATTGTTGGGATGGGAATTGGGGAGTGGGAATTGTTGGGAATTGGGGGTCAGAGCTGTTGCGATGGGAATTGTTGGGATGGGAATTGGGGGGTGGGAATTGTTGGGAATTGTTGGGATGTGAATTGGGGGTGGGAGTTGTTGGGATTGTTGGGATGGTGATTGGGAGGTGGGAATTAGGAGTGGAAATTAGTGGGAATTGGGTATTGGGAGTTGTTGGGGTGGGAATTGTTGGGATGGGGATTGAGGGATGGGAATTGGGAGGTGGGAATCAGGGGATGGGAACTGGGGTGGGAATTGTTGGGATGGGGATTCAGGGATGGGAATTGGGATGGGAATTGTCGGGGTGGGAATTGTCGTGATGGGGATTAGGAGGTGGGAATTGGGGGATGGGAATTCGGTTTGGAATTGTTGGGATGGGGATTGGGGAGGGGAATTCGGAGGTGGGAATTGGGGTGGGAATTGTCGGGATAGGGATTGGGGGGTGGGAATTGTCGGGATAGGGATTGGGGGGTGGGAATTGGGAGGTGGGAATTGGGGTGGGAATTGAGGGATGGGAATTGGGATGGGGGTTGGAGTTGGAATTGTTGGGATGGGGATTGAGGGGGGGGAATTGGGAGGTGGGAATTGGGGTGGGAATTGTTGGGATGGGGATTGGGGTTGGAATTGTTGGGATGGGGATTGAGGGGGGGGAATTGGGATGGGAGCTGTCGGGATGGGGATTAGTGGGAGGTGGGAATCAGGGGATGGGAATTGGGATGGGAATTGGGGTGGGAATTGTTGGGATGGGAATTGGGGTGGGAATTGTTGGGATGGGGATTGAGGGATGGGAATTGGGATGGGAGCTGTCGGGATGGGGATTAGTGGGAGGTGGGAATCAGGGGATGGGAATTGGGGTGGGAATTGGGGTGGGAATTGTTGGGATGGGGATTGAGGGATGGGAATTGGGATGGGAGCTGTCGGGATGGGGATTAGTGGGAGGTGGGAATCAGGGGATGGGAATTGGGAGGTGGGAATTGGGGTGGGAATTGTCGGGATGGGGATTGGGTGGCAGGGATTGGAGGGGGGCGTTGCAGCAATGGGGACGGGGACACCCCCCCCCACTCTCCCGCTCTGTTCCCATCCCCATCCCCATCCCAGGACATTCCCGGCCGGAGCCGCTCCCCCCTGGCGCGCAGGAGCCTGGAGACCCCCGAGGGGGCGGGGGACGCGCTGGGCCCCCCCGGCTCCCCCCGGGCCCCCCATTTCCTGCAGGGCGAGGATCGGGCCCCTTCCCCCCGGCCCAAGCTGCTGGCGGTGCCCGGGGGGGGCCGAGCCCCGTCCCCGCGCCCCCCCCTCCGCCCCTTTGAGCTGCTGGGAATGGGGGGGGGGCCCCGGCCCCTCGCGCCCCCCCCCTATGAGATGCACGGGCTCTACCCGTCCATCGGCGGGGGGGCCGCGGCCTTCCGGGCACAGGGTGAGGGGGGGGGGGGGGTCGGGGGGGGGATAGACCTGGGTATGGGTGGGGGTGGGGGTGGTGATGATCCCATGGGGGGCTCCACGCCCGGGGTGTCCCCCGTCAATCCTAAGGCATCCCCAGTGCATCCATGGGTGTCCCAATGGGTGCCCCCATCCCAATCCATCCATGGGTGTCCCCATCCCAATCCATCCATGGGTGTCCCAATGGGTGTCCCCATCCCAATCCATCCATGGGTGTCCTCATGGGTGTCCCCATCCCAATCCATCCATGGGTGTCCTCATGGGTGTCCCCATCCCAATCCATCCATGGGTGTCCTCATGGGTGCCCCCATCCCAATCCATCCATGGGTGTCCCCATGGGTGTCCCCATCCCAATCCATCCATGGGTGTCCTCATGGGTGTCCCCATCCCAATCCATCCATGGGTGTCCCCATCCCAATCCATCCATGGGTGTCCCCATGGGTGTCCCCATCCCAATCCATCCATGGGTGTCCCCATCCCCATGGGTGCCCCCATCCCAATCCCATCCATGGGTGTCCCCATCCCCATCTGGGTGTCCCCATGGGTGTCCCCATCCCAATCCATCCATCCCATTCCCATCCATGGGTGTCCCCATGGGTGTCCCCATCTCCATGGGTGTCCCCATCCCCATGGGTGTCCCCATCCCAATCCATCCATGGGTGTCCTCATGGGTGCCCCCATCCCAATCCATCCATGGGTGTCCCCATCCACCTGGGTGTCCCCATCCCAATCCATCCATGGGTGTCCCCATGGGTGTCCCCATCCCAATCCATCCATGGGTGTCCTCATGGGTGCCCCCATCCCAATCCATCCATGGGTGTCCCCATCCCAATCCATCCATGGGTGTCATCCATAGGTGCCCCAATCCATCCATGGGTGTCCCCATCCCAATCCATCCATGGGTGTCCCCATGGGTGTCCCCATCCTAATCCATCCATGGGTGTCCCCGTCCCAATCCATCCATGGGTGTCCCCATGGGTGTCCCCATCCCAATCCATCCATGGGTGTCCCCATCCCAATCCATCCATGGGTGTTCCCATGGGTGTCCCCATCTCCATGGGTGTCCCCATCCCAATCCATCCATGGGTGTCCCCATGGGTGTCCCCATCCCAATCCATCCATGGGTGTCCTCATGGGTGTCCCCATCCTAATCCATCCATGGGTGACCCCATCCCAATCCATCCATGGGTGTCCCCATGGGTGCCCCATCCCAATCCATCACCATGGGTGCCCCATCCCAATCCCAACATTGGGTGCCCCAATCCACCCATGGGTGTCCCCATCCCAATCCATCCATGGGTGTCCCCATCCCAATCCATCCATGGGTGCCCCCATCCCAATCCATCCATGGGTGTCCTCATGGGTGCCCCCATCCCAATCCATCCATGGGTGCCCCCATCCCATTCCCACCTATGGGTGCCCCAATCCATCCATGGGTGCCCCAATCCATCCATGGGTGCTCCCATCCCATTCCCACCTATGGGTGCCCCAATCCATCCTTGGGTGTCCCCATCCCTATGGGTGTCCCCGGCCCATCCCCATAGGTGTCCCTATCCCCATGGGTGCCCCCATCCCATTCCTATCCATGGGTGTCCCCAGTCCATCCATAAGTTTCCCCATCCCCATGGGTGCCCCCATCCCATTCCCACCTATGGGTGCCCCAATCCATCCATGGGTGCCCAATCCATCCATGGGTGCCCCATTCCATTCCCACCTATGGGTGCCCCAATCCACCCATGGGTGCCCCCATCCCATTCCCACCAATGGGTGCCCCAATCCATCCTTGGGTGTCCCCATCCCATTCCCACCTATGGGTGCCCCAATCCACCCATGGGTGCTCCCATCCCATTCCCACCTATGGGTGCCCCAATCCATGGGTGCCCCCATCCCATTCCCACCTATGGGTGCCCCAATCCCTCCTTGGGTGTCCCCATCCCATTCCCACCTATGGGTGCCCCAATCCATCCTTGGGTGTCCCCATCCCCATGGGTGCCCCCATCCCATTCCCACCTATGGGTGCCCCAATCCACCCATGGGTGCCCCCATCCCCATGGCCGTGGGGGGGTCCCTCAGCTCCGTGTCCCCCCCCAGATGACTCCGTGCTCAAGCGGCGCCCCCCGAAGGGTTGGAACGAGTCCGACCTGGACCTGGTCTATGAGAAGAAGCCCCCCAGCGGGGGGGGGTTCGACCGTGAGCAATGGGGGGGGCCGGTTCTGGGGGGGGGGGCTCCAGAGCTGTTTTGGGGTGCCCTGGGGGGGGGTTGGGGTGCTCCTGACCCCTTTGTGTTGTCCTTCCCCCCCCCCCGTTAGGTCCCACTCCATCCCTGGGGCTGATGCTGTCACCATGGAGGGAGTCGAGCCTGGATGGGGCCGGAGGGGGCAAGGTGAGAGCTGGGGAGGGGGGGGTCCTGCAGGCCCGATGCCGGGTGATGGGCGCAGGGGCCGGTTATGGGTCCTGCAGGCCTGATGCCGGGTGATGGGTGCAGGGGCTGGTTATGGGTCCTGCAGGCCTGATGCCGGGTGATGGGTCCTGCAGGCCTGATGCCGGGTGATGGGCGCAGGGGCTGGTTCTGGGGGTCCTGCAGGCCTGATGCCGGGTGATGGGCGCAGGGGCCGGTTATGGGTCCTGCAGGCCTGATGCCGGGTGATGGGCGCAGGGGCCGGTTATGGGTCCTGCAGGCCCGATGCCGGGTGATGGGCGCAGGGGCTGGTTATGGGTCCTGCAGGCCTGATGCCGGGTGATGGGCGCAGGGGCTGGTTATGGGGGTCCCGCAGGCCTGATGCCGGGTGATGGGCGCAGGGGCCGGTTGTAGGGGTCCTGAAGGCCTGATGCCAGGTGATGGGCGCAGGGGCTGGTTCTGGGTTCTGCAGGCCTGATGCCGGGTGATGGGCGCAGGGGCCGCTTGTCGGGGTCCTGAAGGCCTGATGCCGGGTGATGGGCGCAGGGGCTGGTTATGGGGGTTCTGCAGGCCTGATGCCAGGTGATGGGCGCAGGGGCTGGTTCTGGGTCCTGCAGGCCTGATGCCGGGTGATGGGCGCAGGGGCCGGTTATGGGGGTCCCGCAGCCCCGATGCCGGGTGATGGGCGCAGGGGCCGGTTATGGGGTCCCGCAGCCCTGATGCCGGGTGATGGGCGCAGGGGCTGGTTATGGGTCCTGCAGGCCTGATGCCGGGTGATGGGCGCAGGGGCTGGTTATGGGTCCTGCAGGCCTGATGCCGGGTGATGGGCGCAGAGGCTGGTTCTGGGGGTCCTGCAGGCCTGATGCAGGGTGATGGGCGCAGGGGCTGGTTATGGGTCCTGCAGGCCTGATGCCGGGTGATGGGCGCAGGGGCCGGTTATGGGGTCCCGCAGGCCTGATGCTGGGTGATGGGCGCAGGGGCTGGTCCTGGGGTCCCGCAGCCCTGATGCAGGGTGATGGGCGCAGGTGCTGGTTCTAGGGAATCCCACATCCCAAAGCCGGGTAATGGGTGCATGGAGCTGGTCCTAGGGTCCAGCAGCCCCGATGCCCGGTAATGGGCGCAGAGGGACTGATTATGGGGTCCCACAGCCCCGACGCTGGGTGATGGGCGCAGGGGCTGGTTGTGGGGGTCCCGCAGCCCCGCTGCCGTTTGATGGGTGCAGGGGCTGGTTATGGGGGTTCTGCAGGCCTGATGCTGGGTGATGGGCGCAGGGGCCGGTTATGGGTCCTGCAGGCCCAATGCCAGGTGATGGGCACAGGGGCCGGTTATGGGGGTCCTGCAGCCCCGCTGCCGTTTGATGGGTGCAGGGGCTGGTTATGGGGTCCCGCAGCCCCGACGCTGGGTGATGGGCACAGGAGCCGGTTATGGGGTCCCGCAGCCCCGATGCCGGGTGATGGGCGCAGGGACTGATTATGGGGTCCCGCAGCCCCGATGCCCGGTGATGGGCGCAGGGACTGATTATGGGGTCCCACAGCCCCAATGCTGGGTGATGGGTGCAGGGGCTGGTTATGGGGTCCCGCAGCCCCGACGCTGGGTGATGGGCACAGGAGCCGGTTATGGGGTCCCGCAGCCCCGACGCTGGGTGATGGGCACAGGGGCTGGTCCTGGGGTCCCGCAGCCCCGATGCCGGGTGATGGGCGCAGGGACTGATTATGGGGTCCCACAGCCCCGATGCTGGGTGATGGGCACAGGGGCCGGTTATGGCGGTCCCGCAGCCCCGATGCCGGGTGATGGGCGCAGGGACTGATTATGGGGTCCCACAGCCCCGACGCTGGGTGATGGGCACAGGAGCCGGTTATGGGGTCCCACAGCCCCGACGCTGGGTGATGGGCGCAGAGGGACTGATTATGGGGTCCCGCAGCCCCGATGCCGGGTGATGGGCGCAGGGGCTGGTTATGGGGTCCCACAGCCCTGATGCTGGGTGATGGGCGCAGAGGGACTGATTATGGGGTCCCGCAGCCCCGATGCCGGGTGATGGGCGCAGGGGCCGGTTCTGGGGGTCCCGCAGCCCCGCTGCCGGGTGATGGGCGCAGGGACTGATTATGGGGTCCCGCAGCCCTGATGCCGGGTGATGGGCGCAGGGGCTGGTCCTGGGGTCCCGCAGCCCCGATGCCGGGTGATGGGCGCAGGGGCCGGTTATGGGGGGGGGGTTCCGTCCTCCCCGCTCACACCGATGCCCCGCAGGACGCCGCCTATGGCGGGCACAGCTCCACCCTGCCCCGCAACTTCAAGCTGCCCCCGGGGGAGCGGCGGGGCCCGGAGGGGCCGTTCCGGCGCGGGGGGGCCGGGTCCCTGCCGCGGGCCTGGCCCGTGTCCCGCATCCCGGTGCCCCCCCCCGCCGCTCCGCGCCCCCCCCGCCAGAAGCCGCTGCCGCTCTCGGTGATCTTCAAGCTCCAAAACGCGTTCTGGGAGCAAGGGGGGGGCGCGCCCCGGGCGCTGCCCCTCGGACCCCCCCCCTCCGCGGCGAGGGCACCGCAGAAGCAGCCCCAGGGACCTGCGCTGCCCCCCGGGGAAGGTGAGGGATGGGGGGGGGGGGGAGCTGCAGCATTGGGGGTGCGAGGGGGGGGTTGGGGGGCACAGGGGGTTGGGGGGGCACAGGAAGGGTTTGGGGGCCCAGGGGGTTTTGGGGTCTGCAGCGTTGGGGGCACAGGAGGGGGGCACAGGGGGGGTTTGGGGGGCACAGGGGGGGGTTGGGGGCACAGGGGGTTTTGGGGGCTGCAGCGTTGGGGGCACAGGAGGGGTTCGGGGGGGTGACAGGAGGACTCCGTGGGGGGTCCCAGAGGGGCTCCGGGGGTTCACAGGGGGGCTCCGAGGGGGTCTCATGAGGGCTCCCGGGGGGTCCCAGGGGGGGTCTGGGGGGGTCCCATGGGGGATCCGGGGGGGTCACAGGGGGGCTCTGGGGGGGTCCCATGGGGGATCCGAGGGGGTCACAGGAGGGGTTCTGGGGGGTCACAGGAGGGATCCGGGGGGGTCCCATGAGGTCTCTGGGGGGGGGTCCCATGAGGTCTTTGGGGGGGTCCCATGAGGTCTCTGGGGGGGTCCCATGAGGTCTCTGGGGGGGAATCCCATGAGGTCTTTGGGGGGGTCCCATGAGGTCTCTGGGGGGGTCCCATGAGGTCTCTGGGGGGGTCCCATGAGGTCTCTGGGGGGGAATCCCATGAGGTCTCTGGGGGGGTCCCATGAGGTCCCATGAGGTCTCTGGGGGGGGTCCCATGAAGGCTCTGGGGGGGGGGTCCCATGGGGGATCCGGGAGGGTCCCATGAGGTCTCTGGGGGGGTCCCATGAGGTCTCTGGGGAGGGGTCCCATGAAGGCTCTGGGGGGGGTCCCATGAGGTCTCTGGGGGGGTCCCATGAGGTCTCTGGGGGGGGCTCCCATGATGTCTCCCTCGTGTCCCCACGGCTTCTCCTCCTCCTCCTCCTCCTCCCTCCCCGTTCCCCCGCAGCCTCGGTCCCTTCCCGACCGCTTCCTCCGGAGCCGTCGCTGCCGGAGGCGGACTCGGAGCTGGATCCGGAGGTGCCGGAGCCGGGCGAGGCCGTGGCGCGGCCGCTGAGCCCGACCCGGCTGCAGCCGCTGCTCCCCGCCGAGGCGCAGCGGGACCCGGAGTTCCGCGCCGTTGCGCGCTCCCTCGCGGAGATGCCGCGGCCGCTCAAGCGCCGCGGGTCCATGGAGCAGAGCCCGGGACCCCCCCCCCGGGCCCGGCAGTACCAGGAGCTCATCACCAAGCTCCTGCACCGGGGGGGACCCCCAAACCCCGCCGCCGCTACCGGGGAACCCGAGCCCGGAGCCGGGGCCGGAGCCGGAGCCGCGCACGGTGAAGGTCGCCAAAGTCCCCCCGTGGAACCGGAACCCGACAGCCCCGCGCCCGCCCCGGTGAGAGAGAGAGAGGGGAACCCCGGGGTCCTTTGGGTGCTTCTGAGTGGGGGGACTGGGGGTCCTTTGGGTGCTCCTGGGGGGGGGCACTGGGGGTCCTTTGGGTGCTCCTGGGGTCCTTTGGGTGCTCCTTGGGGGGGGGGAACTTGGGGTCCTTTGGGTGCTTCCGAAGGGGGGGGACTGGGGGTCCTTTGGGTGCTCCTGGGGGGGGGCACTGGGGGTCCTTTGGGTGCTCCTGGGGTCCTTTGGGTCCTTTGGGTGCTTGGGGGGGGGGAACTTGCTCCAGGGGTCCTTTGGGTGCTTCTGGGGGGACTTGGGGTCCTTTGGGTGCTTCCAAAGGGGGGCAGCTGGGGGTCCTTTGGGTGCTCCTGGGGTCCTTTGGGTGCTCCTGGGGGGGGGAACTTGGGGTCCTTTGGGTGCTCCTGGGGTCCTTTGGGTGCTCCTCCTTTGGGGCTTCTGGGGGGACTTGGGGTCCTTTGGGTGCTCCTGGGGTCCTTTGGGTGCTTCCTGGGCAGCTGGGGGTCCTTTGGGTGCTCCTGGGGTCCTTTGGGCGCTCCTGGGGGGGGGGAACTTGGGGTCCTTTCGGTGCTCCTGGGCAGGGACTTGGGGTCCTTTTGGTGCCCCGGAGAGGACCTTGGGGTCCTTTGGGTGCTCCTGGGGTCCTTTGGGTGCTCCTGGGGGGACCCTGATGTCCTTTGGGTGCTCCTGGGGTCCTTTGGGTGCTCCTGGGGGGGGAACTTGGGGTCCTTTGGGTGCTCCTGGGGTCCTTTGGGTGCTTCTGAGTGGGGGGGACTGGGGGTCCTTTGGGTGCTCCTGGGGTCCTTTGGGTGCTCCTGGGGTCCTTTGGGTGTTTCTGAGGGGGAACTTGGGGTCCTTTGGGTGCTCCTGGGGGGGGGTCTTGGGGTCCTTTGGGTGCTCCTGGGGGGGGAACTTGGAGTTCTTTGGGTGCTCCTGGGGTCCTTTGGGTGCTTCTGGGGGGGGTCTTGGGGTCCTTTGGGTGCTCCTGGGGGGACCCTGATGTCCTTTGGGTGCTCCTGGGGTCCTTTGGGTGCTCCTGGGGTCCTTCGGGTGCCCCGGGGTTCCCCCGGCGGCCGCTGACGCCGCTCCCGGTACCGGTGTTTGTGGGGGGGGGGGGTCCAGGAGCTGCGCTCGGCGCTGCGGGACCCGGCCTCCCCCCGCAAGCGGCCCGGGGCGCGGGTGCGGCTGAACCCGCTCGTGCTGCTGCTGGACGCGGCGCTCACCGGGGAGCTCGATGTGGTGCAGCAGGCGGTGGCCGAGGTGAGGCCGCACCGGGACCGGGATGGCGGGGGGCAGGAGAGGGGGGTGCGGGGAGAGGGAGCGGGATGCGGGAGACAGGGACCGGGGGATGTGGGAACAGGAACCGGGATGCAGGAGACAGGGACTGGGGGGTGCGGGAGGCAGGGACCGGGATGTGGGGACCAGGACCAGGGGGATGCGGAGACAGGGACCGGGATACGGGAGACAGGGACCGGGGGGTGCGGGATCGGGGACCAGGACCGGGGGGATGCGGGATCGGGGACAGGGACCGGGGGGATGCGGGGACAGGGACCGGGATGTGGGAACAGGGACCAGGGGGATGCAGGAACAGGAACCGGGATACGGGAGACAGGGACCGGGGGGTCAGGGACCAGGACGAGGGGGATGTGGGATCGGGGACCAGGGGGATGAGGGGACAGGAACCGGGATGCGGGAACAGGGACCAGGACCAGGGGGATGCGGGATCGGGGACCGGGGGGATGCGGGGACAGGAACCGGGATGCGGGAACAGGGACCAGGGGGATGCGGGAACAGGGACCAGGGGGTGCGGGGACAAGAACCGGGATAGGGGAGACAGGGACCGGGACCAGGGGGATACGGGGAGAGGGACCAGGGGGATGCGGGGACAGGAACCGGGATACGGGAACAGGGACCGGGGGGATGCGGGGACAGGGACCGGGATGTGGGGACAGGGACCAGGACCAGGGGGATGCAGGAACAGGGACCAGGGGGATGCAGGAACAGGGACCAGGATGCGGGAACAGGGACCGGGGGGTGCGGGATCAGGGACCAGGGGGATGCAGGAACAGGAACCGGGATACGGGAGACCAGGACCAGGGGATGTGGGAACAGGGACCGGGATGCGGGAGACAGGGACCGGGGGGTGCGGGAACAGGAACCAGGATGTGGGGACCAGGACCAGGGGGATGCGGGGACAGGGACCGGGAGGTGCGGGAACAGGAACCGGGATACGGGAGACAGGGACCGGGGGATGCGGGATCGGGGACCAGGGGGATGAGGGGACAGGAACCGGGATGTGGGAACAGGGACCAAGGGGTGCGGGGACAAGAACCGGGATAGGGGAAACAGGGACCGGGACCAGGGGGATGCGGGGAGAGGGACCAGGAGGATGCGGGGACAGGAACCGGGATACGGGAACAGGGACCGGGGGGATGTGGGGACAGGGACCGGGATGCGGGAACAGGGACCGGGGGGATGCGGGGACAGGGACCGGGATGTGGGAACAAGGACCAAGACCAGGGGGATGCAGGATCAGGGACCGGGGGGATGCGGGAACAGGGACCAGGAGGTGCGGGGACAGGAACCGGGATGTGGGGACAGGGACCAGGACCAGGGGGATGCAGGAACAGGGACCAGGGGGATGCAGGAACAGGGACCAGGGGGATGTGGGAACAGGGACCGGGGGATGCGGGGACAGGGACCGGGGGGATGCAGGAACAGGAACCGGGATACGGGAGACCGGGACCAGGGGATGCAGGAACAGGGACCGGGATACGGGAACAGGGACCGGGGGCTGCGGGAACAGGGACCAGGATGTGGGGACCAGGACCAGGGGGATGCAGAGACAGGGACCGGGATACGGGAGACAGGGACCGGGGGATGTGGAACAGGGACCGGGATGTGGGGACCAGGGGGATGCGGGGACAGGGACCGGGATGCAGGAGACAGGGACTGGGGGGTGCGGGAGGCAGGGACCGGGATGTGGGGACCAGGACCAAGGGGATGCGGGATCGGGGACCAGGGGGATGCGGGAGACAGGGACAGGGGGGTGGGAACAGGGACCAGGATGGGGGCGGGAACAGGGATGCAGGGGGCTGGGGGATGCAGGAACAGGGACAGGGAGACAGGGACCGGGACCAGGGGGATACGGGGAGAGGGACCAGGGGGATGCAGGGACAGGAACCGGGATGCGGGAACAGGGACCGGGACCAGGGGGATGCGGGATCAGGGACCAGGGGGATGCGGGGACAGGAACCGGGATGTGGGAACAGGGACCAGGACCAGGGGGATGCAGGATCAGGGACCGGGGGGATGCAGGAACAGGGACCAGGGGGATGCGGGAACAGGGACCGGGAGACGGGAGACGGGGACCGGGGCATGCGGGGAGAGGGACCCGGGGATGCGGGGTCAGGGGCCAGGTGGATGCGGGCTGGGGGTGATGAGGAGAGCACTTGTGGGGTGATGGAGGGGACAGAAGGATGCTCTCGGGGTGGCACTGGGATACAGAGGGGACAGGGCGGCAGTGGGGTGCTCTGGGGAACACTGGGGCACAGGGTGCTCTGGGGGTGGCACAGAGGCTCTGCGGCGGTGCCGTGGGGCAGAGGGGGTGCTGTGGGGATGCCGTGGGGCAGAGGGGGTGCCGTGCGGGTGTCCTGGGGCACAGGGGTGCTGTGTGGGTGCTGTGGGGCTCCAGGCGCTGTGCGGTGCTGTGGGTCACAGGGGTGCTGTGGGAGTGCCGTGGGTCACAGGGGTGCTGTGGGTCACAGGGGTGCTGTGAGGCACAGGAGGTGCTGTGGGGCACAGGGGGTCCCGTGCGGGTGCCGCGGGGCTCAGGGCACTGTGCGGGTGCTGTGGAGCTCAAGGGTGCTGTGGGGGTGCTGTGGGGCATAGGGGGTGCTGTGGGGGTGCTGTGGGGCACAGGGGGTGCTGTGGGGGTGCCGTGGGGCACAGGGGTGCCGTGGGGGTGCTGTGGGGCACATGGGGTGCTGTGGGGCACAGGGGGTGGCAGCAGGGTGCCATGTGGCTGCCTTGGGGCTCAGGGCGCTGTGTGGGTGCTGTGGGACTCAGGGGTGCTGTGGGGGTGCTGTGGGGGTGCTGTGGGGTACAGGGGCGCCATAGGGGTGCCGTGGGGGTGCTGTGGGGTACAGGGGTTGCTGTGTGGGTGCGGTGGGGGTGCGGTGTGGGTGCTGTGGGGGTGCCATGGGGGTGCTGTGCGGGTGTCGTGGGGGTGCTGTGGGGCACAGGGGTGTGGTGTGGGGGTGTGGGTGCGGTGTGGGTGCTGTGGGGGTGCCATGGGGGTGCTGTGCGGGTGTCGTGGGGGTGCTGTGGGGCACAGGGGGTGCTGTGGGGCACAGAGGTTGCTGTGTGGGTGCGGTGTGGGTGCGGTGGGGGTGCCGTGGGGCACAGGGGGTGGCACAGGGGTGCCGTGGGGGTTCTGTGGGGGTGCAGTGGGGGTGCGGTGGGGGTGCCATGGAGGTGCCGTGGGGCACAGGGGGTGTTGTGGGGGTGCGGTGTGGGTGCGGTGGGGGTGCGGTGGGGGGGTGTGGGTGCGGTGTGGATGCTGTGGGGGTGCGGTGTGGGGGTGTGGGTGTGGTGTGGGTGCGGTGGGGGTGCCATCGGGGTGCTGTGGGGCACAGGGGTGCGGTGTGGGTGCGGTGTGGATGCTGTGGGGGTGCGGTGTGGGTGCACGGGTGTGATGTGACGGCGCTGTGTGGATGCTGTGTGGGTGCTGTGGGTGCGGTGTGGGTGCTGTGTGGGTGCTGTGGGTGCTGTGGGTGTGGTGTGGATGCGGTGTGGATGCTGTGTGGGTGCTGTGGGTGCTGTGGGTGCGGTGTGGGTGTTGTGCGGGTGTGATGTGACGGCGCTGCGTGGATGCTGTGTGGGTGCTGTGGGTGCGGTGTGGGTGCGCGGGTGTGATGTGACGGCGCTGTGTGGGTGCTGTGGGTGCTGTGGGTGCGGTGTGGGTGTGGTGTGGGTGCGGTGTGGGTGCTGTGCGGGTGTGATGTGACGGCGCTGTGTGGGTGCTGTGTGGGTGCTGTGGGTGCGGTGTGGGTGCGCGGCTGTGATGTGACGGCGCTGTGTGGGTGCTGTGGGTGCGGTGTGGGTGTGGTGTGGGTGCGGTGTGGGTGCTGTGCGGGTGTGATGTGACGGTGCTGTGTGGGTGCTGTGGGTGCTGTGGGTGCGGTGTGGGTGTGGTGTGGGTGCGGTGTGGGTGCGCGGGTGTGATGTGACGGCGCTGTGTGGGTGCTGTGGGTGCTGTGGGTGCGGTGTGGGTGCGCGGCTGTGATGTGACGGCGCTGTGTGGGTGCTGTGTGGATGCTGTGTGGGTGCTGTGGATGCGGTGTGGATGCTGTGTGGGTGCTGTGGGTGCGGTGTGGATGCTGTGGGTGCGGTGTGGGTGCGGTGTGGGTGCTGTGCGGGTGCTGTGGGTGCTGTGGGTGCGGTGTGGGTGCTGTGCGGGTGTGATGTGACGGCGCTGCGTGTCGCCGCAGCTGAACGACCCGAGCCAGCCCAACGACGAGGGCATCACGGCGCTGCACAACGCCATCTGCGGCGCCCACTACGGCATCGTGGAGTTCCTCATCGCCAGCGGAGCCAACGTCAACTCCCCCGACAGCCACGGATGGTGCGGGGGGGGGGACTTGGGGGGCGGGTGCGGATGGGATGGGGATGGATGGGGATGGGGATGGATGTGTGTGATTGG